CTCCTTTTCCGACACCACTGACGGAAATTCTGGGTTCGGTAGGTGGACGACACCTTCGTCATAATTGAGCGGCATCAGGTGCTGACATTCAAGGAACTTCTTAACGCCGTCTTCGCGGACATTCAATTTATAATATGGCGAGCGCTATATGCAACATGCCTGAGTTCAATTCAATTCAATAAGGCCTTCTTTATATTAACTTCGCGGTAACATATGCGGACACTTTGCTTATGTGTGAGTAGAGTGGTGCGGAAAAACAAAATTCCAATGAAAACTTCTTTGTTACTGCATTTTCTGGAAAAAACTTCACAGGTTCGCTAAACATAATTTTTTAAACTTCTTTTTTTGCTTGTTTCTGAAAATAAAGGCGATTCTTTGAACTTGGCTTCACTTGCATCTGAACAATTTCGGACAAAATTTCCAGTTCTTAAAGAAATAAGTTTTCCACCTTTCTTACTTATTCTGGAATTCTTCCATAGCATAATGCATACTAATAAAACATTTTGGTCTGTCTTGCCTTATAGCATAGGAAATTTCTTCGAGGTAAACTTAATTTAGCCAAAACTAATGCTTTGTTCGCTCCATAACTTTAACTAAGTGGGCAGTTTTCCAAACTAAGGCCTTTCTAATTACAAAATCCACTCCATTTATCAAAACAATATTCCGGAATATATGCTAAACTACCTAGTTAAATTCTGTGATAAAAGTTGCATGCAGGACTCGCCATACTCTACGACGGAGGAAGAAGAAAACTACCAGCTGGCTATCGTGGATCTCGTCGTTTACCGAAAGACTGTGTTCTCCTAAAAGCTTAAGTGTTCAGCAAAGATACCAACAGTAGGCAAGTACTGATCTACAACAGCAACCACCCAATTAGTCAAAAACGCAGCTGCATAAGAGCGCTACACCGGCGCGTTGAGACGCATTGCAGCGATGCGGAAGAAGTTGCTGAATTCCAACAAAAGTTTTGTTCCAGTGGTCACCTCTGCTTCTTTCTAACATTTGTGTCTACCGGTCTCACCGGGCTTCAGCCATCGAAACGTTTATCCATAAATACCATTTTGTAAATTAAGCTAGTTGTAGAAAGAAGATATGCGGAGTTTAATTAGCTGACATTTGATTGCCTTATCGCCTTTTTGCGAGATTGGTCATTAAGTGCGTATAGCGACTAAAAGAAATGAGTGGGAGAGTAATAAGTTGAAAGACTGATATAAGGAAGTTTTAGGACACATTCGAGGAAGCCAGCGCGTGTATTCACAGGCTGAGAACATCTGACCAATAGCCACGCTACGCTCCCGTATAAAATAGACTGTGATTGTTCTACATGATGGAAACCTAATAGGGTGCTAAAACGTGGATATACTTTCGAAAGCCAGCTTCGTAAGGCACCACAATTATGCCTTATAATGTTATTTATTTAGAATATATTGTCATATAATATCGGAAACGCACTGTTATCTCGGATACAAAATGGAACCGGCCTACTGGGAATGTCCCAAAAGCGACACAACCGGCGACACTATCTCCAACATTATTGTATTTTTGAGTTGTTCCAGCCTTATCCTAAGCCTCAGCCTCCTGACAGCGCTCTGTTTTCTAACCGGCAAAACAAGGACCTATCTGACCCATCTGCGAGCTATTACAGCATCTACGGTACTTTGCAGTTTGATCGGTTTCTGCAATAACGTAATTCCCGCGCGATTCGTGCCCACGGACTATATTTTCGGCCGCATTGTGTGCCATATCTGGAGAAGCCTCTACCTACTGCACGCATCCTACATATTCAGCGGTCTTAACCTCGTCTTCATGGTGGGACACCGAGCAATTCAGATTGGTGACAAGTACCAGAACTCCCACGCTCCGACCATGTTACCAGATTTAACCTGCGTGGTACTGATAGGAGTGAGTAGCGTGCTAAGTATAATATGCCAGGTATTTGTGGTGGAATGGAATGGAAGCGATTGCCTCTGTCGAGAAAAAGGGCTACCCTACTTGGTGCTTGTGTCTGCTTACGTGGGAACCTTTGTCCGATTTGGTCTAACCGTTATCATAAGCCCCATTATCATGGGCATTTCCTGCTATAAGATTGCCCAATGGGTGCGTAAGACATCACCGGAGAAGCTCTTTGACACCTGGAATGGTCTGGCTTTTCCAGGGGCAACTGAACAGCAGGTGATGGAACTCCTTCGACCGCGAGGCTGGATGACAGCATCTATGTGCACCGTACCACTTTCAATAAATATGGTGGCATGCAGTCTGTACATCACCGTCCACCAGTTTGTCTGTGCGGTCGGTTTGTGCAGAGTGGAGTTGGACAGGGCATCCTACAGGATGGGAATACTGCTCATTTACCTTCAGTTATTTTTCTCGCCTATCATTATCGCTGTCTACATTCCGGCGCTTCGAGACCCAGTTGAACGCAGCCTCAAACGACTGCTGTCTAGGCTCATCCTAAAAGCGCAGAAGTGGGTTGAAACTGATGCAGCAGATTTGCAAGTTCCCTAACATGCGGGTCAAGAATTCATGGTGCCGCCTCGTCCTCCCACGAAGTTTGGCGCATACTTGTCGTTTCGTGCACTCATCAGTATATCAACACAAGGTACATTATTCTGCATTTTATATCCAACTGCACCGGTCTCATTCTCTCATTGTTGTGAAACAGAAAATCCACAAGTTGTTCCCCTATTGAAAAAGAGGACATTTTGTGCTCCGTTATTTATATCACTCGTTTGGAACTTGGTGTTTTAGTAAGAAGCGTTATTAATCGCTTAAGTGTTTCATGACCGTTCTTAACGCCTTTTGTGTGATCTTACCATGTCCTGTAACTGCCTAAGGATGCCCTATGGACACCCTACGTATGCTCCAACAAAATGTTCATATTTTTTGAATGCTGGACCTGTTTGATTATATTTATTCCAATTTGTCACTTTATTAAACTAAATCTAAAAATAAAATTCTGCTCTGCGATCAATTGTCCTTATATAACTTTTGTTTCGTCATTAGGTCTCGGGATTACTACGCGTTTCATTAAAAAAGCGGCATTTAGGTGGTAACTCCCCAAAAGTGGACTGTTAAGTAAATCAATATGAAAATTATTAACACCTGACTTTTAGCAAACGCATTTCATTGGAAATACGCTAACGATTTCAGTATAATAGTGGGAGAATTCTCTCAGAAATAATGTAGGCTTAAAATGGTATATAACGCAGCTAATATTGTCGGTAAATACTAGGGAGACTGGAATGGCTATTTCCGGCTTATTAGCCATTCTCAGCTAGCCATACCCAGAGCCAAGTGGTGTCCCACCGTTACGGCTGCCGTGGTCCAAGACAGAGCGCAACAGACGGGATTCGTTAGCGGTCAGGTGAGCACTCATCAAAGAGTATATATAACACTGTTGATAGGAAGCCTATTGGTTTTGAAATAAGTCTCAGATATGACGGTATTCATAGTTCACATGCACGTGACCCGCTGAGAACGAGTTCGAGGAACTTGGCGTCACGATTACCCTTAAGTCATATTTATTCATTGGGAAAGCGAGTGGGAGAAGGGAGCACAGGGCGCGTAGTAATAATGTTCAGGCGCCCAAGTTCAGTACGAGAAGACGAGTGATGTCCAGTAAACATGAATAAACGCCAATGACTGTAAGCAAATTTTTAAATTTGGAAAGTTTATTCAAAAAACGTATATTTTCATCATTTCACCATCAGGCTAGTACAATTGCAGAATTAATGAAAATCACATATTTGGACAGGGCTAATAGGGATCCTTTGATTAAAACAGATTGAAGATTGTATAAACAGCAAAATTTAATGGATCCGTCAATTTCGAGAAGGCTCATCAGTTTCTTCCTGTCATTGCGTAACGTGAATTAACGTCAGAGAAAATACACTATTGAATTCATATAGAAATATGGGCATTTACAGTGACCATGACCATCATTACAACACAGATTTAGAATAAGAAGAAAATGTAATAACTGGTCCAGTGATCGCATCTACTTCTTCTTCTGAACTGGTTTCTGGAACTCGCATATTCGCTTCTACCCGCAATGAGGTAGATTATTCTCAAAGTAATTATAACCATTTTCTGTTCAACTCTATAATTCTCATACTTGCATTGTTATGATTCACAAAGTACAGTGATTGTCCCTCTTTCGAAACTAATGAATTTTATTCGTTCGTTTTCTTATCTCGCTGGGTACATCTTTTCGGCGATAAAATAGACGGAAATTTTTATATAAAACAATTGGTGCGAGACCTGTTGGTTTATAAATAATCATTAAATGAGATGAAATTCATAGATTACGTGTTCATGACCCATTTGCAGAAGACTTCGACAAGTTTATGGACACGATTTACGGATATGCCACATTTATTTATTCAGCTGCCTTGCGAATAACCTGCTTTGAATTCACGGC